ACTTGCCAGGTATACCCTGTGTATATGCTAGCCAGAGAAGCCAGATTCCCCTTATCCTTAGACAGGGGAAAAAGCAAACCTTTAAACCCTGGGAACTAAACTCAGGCCTCCTTCCTTTTGGAACCCTTCCCAGCCTCTCCAATCCGAGTGGTCTTTCCCCTGAATACCACAGAGAATTGTCCTGTCCCTCCCCGAGTTGGCTCCACCACCCAAGCCCATCAGCTGCTTCTACATAATGGTGTCTAGAGGTGTCCCAGACATTAGCAGGGAGGGTAGACATTTCCCCAGGGGGATGGTCATCTGTGCCCTGGTGACTGTGCAGGTTAGGAAGTCACTATGTCTGGCTCTACCACTGGTCAGCTATGGAAGATGGAGAGCAATGCAATATTTGCATTTGGCTGTTAGGAAGACTGCATGGAATAGTCCTCATGAAGCACATCATAATATAGGTGCTCCACTGGCTGCATTTGATACCCTCCCCTCTGAAGTGGGATCCAGGTCCACCTTTTCACAGCTTCTAGTGTGTGGACAGGGCAGCGGAGAAGACATACCCTCAGTCTGCCTGAGGCGATGTACCTGAAAAACAAAAACAAAAACATCATTTTCGCTTCCTGCTGGGGCTTGGAAGGGAATTAAACCAGGTCACCAGAACTCAGAACAGGATGGGGAAATCCCCCAGAGAGCAGTTCTGAATCCTACGGAGTGCAATTTCTGAAGCGACAAGAGGCAGGAAATGGCGTCTGAATAGGAACATTGCGGCAAAAACATGACTAAGCCATAGGAAACAGCATCTCAGTCTGTTGTGCCCTCCCTGTCTTCTGCATGTCTGCACTGTGGGTGAGCTGTCAGCACCCAGGTTCTGCGGAACTAAACATGTTTGCTGGTGTGAAAATCTACACCGATGGACGATGTAGAGCAAGACAAGATAATGTTTAAACTGGCTTTGAACGGCCAAAGAGTGATTTAAAAGAATTAGACTCCAACTGGCTGGAGATAGGTATGGGTGGGGCGGATGGGGCCTTACCAGCACAGTCCCCACACTGTCCTTGTGCAGCTGAGGAGCCTCCAGGGGAAGACAAGCGCAGGAGCTGTCCCTGGTGCTGAAGGCAGTTCTCTGCAGCCTAGGTGCCCACTCTCTGCAGCCTAGGTGCCCAAGGCCAAGGAAGGGGAGGACTTCTTATAGAGTTGGACTGTGGGGGATGTGGGCTGAGTTCGGGACTAAAAGGGGGTAGAAAATAAGAAAACGGAAACACCCACCTTCACCAGAACGTATGGACCTTGTCACACACTGTCGCAGCAACTACCTCTCAAGTCAGATGGAAGTGCTCATGCAAAAGACATGCCAGAAACAGAAGTGTGAACATGAGTTCAGACGGGCCTTACGAGAGCTCCTAGCAGCTTCACCCATAGTCCCTCACCCCGTTGCCTCTTCCTTGGAGCTACTTTTGGGGCAGGTTATAACAGAAACTGCCACATAAAGGAGGTTGTTAACTAAAAGGGATGAGCAAGGAAAGAGACAAGAAAGGAAATACTCGGAGTTGAGAAGAGGGGAGGGAGGGGAGGTGACCCATGTTATTGTCAGTGTGTCAGTCACAATTACTTGCGAGCTAGAAAAGTAATAAAGTTACATTATTCACACATTACGTGGAACAAGCTATTCAATGCTGCCTTCCTCCGAGCCAAATATTGTGATAATTTTAGAGATCATAGCTTAATTGAACAATGAATTAATAATCACATGTGTGGACATTTTCCTTTTGCATGTGAACCAAAAGCCTGGGGTTTTCTTCCCATTTTGTAAGCCACACAGGCATCTGTCAGCGAGGTGAGACACACACTAATTCCTTACTGCTGGGAGAGACACGCAGGAGACAGTTCTTTCTGTTTCTTACTGTAGCTGATAATATGAGCTCTGGTAAGAACATACATGAAGCACTGCTCTAGTTCAGAGCCCTTTAAAGTGCACAGCCTCAGGACCAGCAGTGTCAGAATCCATTAGAAATATAGATTCCAGACTGTGGGGAGAGCATTGTGATAGAGAGCTGTCCGGCATGTGCACAGCATGGGTTTGACCCCATGATTGAAGTAGAGAGGCAGAGACAGAGATAAAGAGAGGGAGAATTTCACAGAGAGAGACAAAAAGAGAGACAGACAGACAGACAAACAGAGGAGGGAGAAGACTCATGGGCTTCATGTAGCAGTTTTGAGTCGATACCTCTGACAGCAAAGTCCAAAAGTCTGATGCCAAATATGAGAACCACTAAGTTATTGATTTATTTAAGTTCATGGATTTGTGTATTCACATGTTCTCATGTGTTTGGCACATGTGGTAGGGGCTGTGTGTGTGTGTGCGTAGACCCAAAGTTGGCATTAGGTGTCTTCCTCCATCTTTTTTACTTTTTGTGGACTCAGGATCTTTCCTTTCCCTAAGCTGAAAGTTTGACGATTCCTTTGAGTCTGGCTAGCCTGCTTGCCCTGAGGATATCATCTCCCGAGTGCTGGGATCACAGGTATCTGCCACACCTGCCAGCTTTTATTTACATGCATCCTGGGAGTCTGAACTCCAGTCTTTGCGTGTGATATTGAGATTTTTATCTGCTGAACCATCTCCCAAGCCTGAGAACCATGGCTTCATGTAGTATGAGTGGCAGGGACTCCAGGAGCTATTGATCTGGGGGAGTTGTCCCATTCCTGCCTAGAATATGATGCTGAGGTTCAACACATAAATAAGGAATCAGAGGTCCAGGTTTGGATCCAAGCTCTAGGACCTGGATTAAGTTACCCAGTTCTTGAGCCTGTTCATCTTTGAAGTAAGGATAACAGTTCCTGCCTTCTTGCTAGATTGTGGTGGGGATAAAATGAGTTAATGGATTTGAAAGGGCTTTGAAAACTACAAAGTGCTAAAGGAAGGGGATTATTGTTATGTGAGCACAGGAGAAGGCTGTGACAGTGTGACTTGTCCCCTCTGCTACAGATGTAAATAGTGTCGGGGTGAATTGGTCACCTGCCCCACTTACACTTCTCCATGGGCATCTTCCCTCCTCCCCTGCTTCTCTAAAGTGCACGGGGCTCTATCTGTTCCAGACAAAGTCAATGACTTGTGTGGTCTGCAGGGAAAGGGGGTGACGTCATTTCAGGGGCCTCGGACTCCGCATATGTAGTCTCAGGTTGCCAACGACAAGATGTTGGAGTTGGAGACTACAAGTGCTCATGCGTAAACATGTCGGCTCCAACCAGTAATGTGACCTAGGAACTTTAGCAAGCAGCCTCCTCCTCTTCCTCTTTGAATTCCATTTCCTCAAGTGTAAGATAACAGTAATGATGACACACATCTGGTTGAGATTGTCAAGACGAACTAGGATGAAGCGTGTTCATCCTGGCCCCTAACAATTCCCCATAAGTTGTAGAATGAATGGCTGAGCCAATGAGTGATTAGTGACTGATTGCAAAGACAACTAAATGAGCAATGGAAAAAAAGTAGAGTCCCCGTGTGTAAGATCTTAAAGGTTTGTTGAAGATTTTAATGAAGAGAATACCAGGCAGAGGCAGATGCCGACCCTTGAGGTAGGGCATGTTAAGAAGAGAGTGTTTTTCTCTCCCAGTTGACCAGGCCTTCCACTAGAGGTGGAATGGGAAGAATATGGAGGGGCTGCCTGAAAGGAAAGGGTTCAAGAGCATGGTGCAGCTGATCCCAGGGTCAGCTAAAGAGGGAGTTCCCCTGGAGCCTGCTAGGGAGGGTAGTCCTGATGAGTCCAGTCCTGCATGGATTTGGACACCTGAGACAAACCTCAGGCAAGATGGCCAATCAGAAGTAAGACGAGCTTTCTTGGCCAGCATGGACCTTCTGAAAGTTCAGGAATGAGGTACAGTCAGCGTTCAGTTCTCAAAGCTGGGTGAAAGGCAAAACTCCAGGTCCAGAGGGTGACAAGAAAAAGCAGTCAAAAGAAGACGTCCAGCATCCTTCAGAGAAGCCACCTTGACAGGGAGCACGCTGTCCAGCAGTGGACACAATCAAGTGGTTCCTCAGACAAGAGAGCAACAGTTCACCTCACTTTCCTTCTTCCTACACCCCATCACAGCCTCTTCACTGATCCCACCAGAAACTTACGGTAGGGTAGAAATGTCCTCACAGCTCAGCCTCCTGAGGTATAGACAAGGATGGCATGGACCTGGAGGAGCAAGTGGGAGGCTTTCAAGGAACAGTCGCTCTCGTAATCAGTGTAGCTGCAGCTGCTATGACGCTCGCTCTCCATTTAGCCACTTGAACAGGAAGGCTCCCTGAGAGGCCCAAGAAACACCCATTTGGCCCAGGAGGCCCTCAGCTGGTCCCTAGCCCTCACCCTCCAGCTTCACCCCAGGAAGCTCCCAAGGCTGGCAGCTGCCACTCATTCACGAGTACTCCCAGACCCCCTACTGGGCTTCCTTAGGGAGGGACATCTGCTTGGCTTGGCCCCCTGCAGAGTCCCGGCCTGCCTCTACCCACGTGGGCACATCCGCTGTCAAAGCAAACCTTTCCCGCTCTAGGCTGAAGGAAATCTCCAAGACCCCTCAAGAACAAGTTCATGGAGGAAAACTTAAGACACTAGCTTTTTGCTGGTCTAGAAGTAAGACAGGCATCACGGAGGGGGTGGAGGGGAGAAGGTGAAGAAGAGGGAAGCAGGGAAAACAAGGAGCATTGTAATTAAAATCTTCTCCAGCCTGCATTTCCTGGCTAGTCAGTCCCGAATCCCTTCATTAGGATGTGCCCTTTAAATGCTCATTATCCCAAGATTTACAAATTGTGTGGGTTTGGTGCTGCTGAGGGGCTGGAAAAGTCGGCCTCCCTGCTGCTGCCAGATGCTTCCACAGCATCCTCAGTTGCTCTGACTTCACCCAGGACAGATCCTACATGGGGGACAGAGTGATGGAGAAGGAACTGGTTCCAGGCGGCAGACTGCACTGGACAGACTCAGCAAATCCTATACACATAGGGAAGATGGGGAGAGACAAAAGTCACGCTGCATGCAGATAGAGAGAACGGCAATTTTGAGTCTTTACTAAATGCCCTGCTCAAAGAAAGATGAGGATCAAAACCGTAGAAGACCTCTAGAGGAGCTGACGAGGAGCAAACTGTTGAGGGAAACTGAGTTCACCACTCCTGGGCAAGTTGTGAGAAGGGGATCTACGGCCTTCTCGGCCAGCAGACATTGACCAGCTGCCTACACACACTCTCATGGATGCAGAGTTTACACACGCAGAGCTCAGGAGCCAGGGGGGAACGGGCTAAGGCGCTCAAGCCTCAGTCACTGCCGGGCCAGGCCGGGTGAGGGGAGTAGGGCTGTTCGGTGGCATTTTCTCTGCAATGTTTTCGCGTTCCTTTTGAAGAGAGGCTGGCGGGGCCTCACAGAGGGAAGGAGTTGGACCACCGTGAGAGGGCAAGGAGCCAGCAGTTGATCAGATGCAGGACAGACACCACAACCTGTAGGAAAGTTTGAAAGCATAAATGAGGTGTGTCCCAAGCAACATCGTGGAGGCAAGCCCCAGATTTCTCCTTGTATCCCTATGGGATGCCATTGGCGGGGGGGTTGCTCCTCAGAATAGCATGAATCCATAAGACCATAAGACTTACTCAGCAGAGTTCCCAGGTAGGCCGAGTTGAGATAACCCACATTTTCACTGCAGCAGTCTGAACCTCCTGGGGGTTGGAAGAGACAGAATAAAAAGCTGTATCCAAGGTATTTTCCTAACCGCATGCTACCCACCCTGTCTTCAAGGAGAAAGAAAGGTTTCTGGCGCTTGAAGCCAAACCCTCCACAGGTCTCTCAGTTCTTCCCCAGCATCTGACATCCCTCTTACCCCACTAATACCCCACAGAGGGCATTTCTGTTTTGCCTCCTGCTGCTGGTGCCACCTCCCTTCTCTGCACTAATGAGGCAGCAGGTCCCATTCAGGGTCCCAGTGATAGCTGCTCAGAGCATGTTTACTGAAGCTGGCCGCTGGACCTGACAAGATGTGTTAATTAGGAGATGATGGACCATGTAGGCACACTGGCCACGTGGCAGTCAGATGGGCAGCATCAGTCACCATGAGCCAGGGAGCTGCCATGACAGTCTTAATTAAGGGAAGCCTGCTCTCATCTCCAGGTGACAGCCTCAGACTCAGTGAAGATGGCACCGTTGGTTGTCCCAGCAGGGGCCACCCTGAAGCCTGGCCCAGCAATAAGGTTAGGCTAGCAGGCTCGCTGAGGCATCACAGACAAGATAACAACTCAAGGCTGCTCCCAGCCTGGCTTTGGGTGTTCCTCCTCCCTCTTCTCCCAGCAGTCCTAGGTATCCTAGGCTTGGCTCCCTCAACAGCGCCATTCGCAGCTCCCTAGGAGCTTAGCTTGCTCATTCCCCAGCCTGAAGTCCCTTCTCTTCACCCCTCAATATACTAAAGTTCAATCACAAAGACAAGGTTCTTCTCAAAGGTTTCTTGCCTACAAAAGTATCATTCCTACACACACACACATACACACACACACACACACACACACACACAGGGTCCCCTTTTGTGTTTGCCCTTTAAGGGGACCTATCAACAGCTCTTGTACTGGTAGTAAAATCACCAGGGTGGCTGTTGACACCCTGAAATGATTTCATACTGGTTGGTCAGTGACCTCTGCTCCCGGTCACCTCACCCAAGACTGTTTCTCCTTCTGTCTCCTGATGCTTCCCCAAAGACACCAGTCAATTAAAAACAAGGTTTTACACAAAGGATGCTCTGCTACTTTGATGTCTCCCTGTGGCCTTTGCAGCTAGCATGTGTACAAACACGTGTCCTGCCCATTATTGAACACTGGACTGTTACTATGCCTTATCGGTGTAATGTCTGTCAATGCTGGATGTGCCACTTCCTTCATTGGAATGTCAGGTTCTGGTCCCCAACGTGGCATGAGGATACTAATTTTAAGGAACATGGTGGCAAGGGCCCACCCAGTCCTCTAGACCCCCTCAAAGATACCTAGCAGGCTGCTAAGATGAGGCACTGTCTTTGTGACCCCAGTTCTCAATCCCACAAGGGTCTCAAGATCCAGTTCTATAAAAATCTGTATCTCCCGAGGTCAATGTGCTTGTCCTAAACCCTTTTTTAAAAACTCACACCCCAACAGGTTTCTGATTCCAGATTCATTTATCTGGTCAGTGAAGAATTCTCTACAGTGCACCAACCTGCCTGTGCCAAGAGCACAGGTATTCTTTGAGAATTTCAGACATGTATATGTGAAATATGGTCAGATGTAGCCCCATTTCTACTCTCCAGCTATTCCTGCATCTCCCTTAACACATTCTCATTCTAACTTTGTGTCTTCTTTTTGGGTAACCTACTAAGGTCAGGTCAGTTAGTGATGTGTATGTGTGTGTGTGTGTGTGTGTGTGTGTGTGTGTGTGTGTGCGTGCGTCCATCTACTGGGTTATGTAAAACCTACCAGTGTACACACCCTAAAGAAGAATGATTATCCCTACTTCAGCAGCCAATAGCCCCTCAGTAAGGGGTGGTTCCAGGAGGTCACCCCTCACCTATTCAGGGAGTGTCCTTGACTTGATCTTGAATGGGTCTTGTGCAAATGATCACAGCTTGTGCATGTGCTAAGTGCAATGGTCATGTTGTTCATATCCAGATGACAGTCCTTCATGGGGCTCCTCCCCATCCTCGGGCTCTTAAATTCTGCTTCCTCTTCTTCAGTGCTCTCTTCTGCAAGGCTAATAAGATGTTCCCCTTATGACTGCGCCCTCAGTCTCTTATTCCCAGTACTTCCCCAACATACATCTTTCCATTGACTGCTGCCCACTGTACAAAGAGGCTTCTCTAGTCAAGACCGTGAATAGCCCGGGCCTGTGGTAGAAACAGATACTTAGAAGGCGATTTCAAGACCATGTCCATTAAAAAATTGACATTAGCAGGTTCTGCTTTACAACTTAGGACTGCCCCACAGTATAAGCATAAAATTCCCTCCTGTTGAGCAAACTTCAAACCCAGTCAGGAAGCAGCCAGTAGCCTCCTAACAGTCATGCCACTATTGCACCAATGGGCACATCGTGGCCGGTAGGTCAGTACTGTAACATGGAGTCTCCAGAGGTGGGTAAAATTATTAATGTCTTCTCTCCCGGCAGCCTGCATAGCACCTTCCAGCATTATAAAACCTAACCAGCGGGGCTAAAGATTGTCAGCCAGTTAGAGATCGATTCCTCTGTGTCCTGAAGCCAAAGTAAAGAAACAATTCTTGACCAAAGAAGTTCAAATTAAAAAACCAAAAACAAAATGCAGTGTCATAGGCAGCTCTTGTGATCAATAACAGACGGGCAGTGTTCTGTGGCCCTACAGAGAAGCTGCTCATTATCCGCCAGGAGAGGCTGGTGGGGTAGATCTGGCTCTTGATGGATGGGTGGGAGTTTCCTCGGCAGTGGGCAGAGAGAGGGTAGTCCAAACATAGGGGATTGCTTATTTGCAGTGTTAGGAGGTTAGACAGGCCTGGAGCAGCCCTAAAGCTCCCTGAGTGCTGGGACGAAAGGAGCCAGACGTGACACTGCAGACTGGGAGGAAGGCTGGACCAGGGACACGTTTATTCTGCGGAGAGACAGAGAGGCTGATGGAGGTCCTCATTCCAGGGAGTGACAACATCAGATTCATCTTGCAGCAAGATAATGTGAGCAGCGGTGGAGAGGATGAATCCAAGGGTAGGAAGGATTGGGCAGCCTGCAGAATTTGACTGAAAGGGGGGATTTGTTTGAGGGTAACTGATTCCTTCCAATTACTGACCCTAAGTGTTTTTGTGAAGCATTTTGGAAGAAAAAAAATCACTTGTTCCTGGTCATATATTCAAGTTGATTTCAGAAATCTTGCTGACAAGTACCAAGAAGAGACTGGGTATGAAATTGTGAGACCCTACTTCTAACCTGGTCCTTGACTGCCTGAATGATTGACCTTCAGCAAGTCCCCTGCTCCCTCCAGAAGCAGTCTATGCGGCCTTGTACGCTCTTGCCAAGCGGGAGCAGGGTTGGTTAGGATCGCAGTGACCCTGCTATGTTGCTATTGCAGCTGTGGGCGACAAGACAGGGAACTCGCCCCATTTCTGCAACACGGCAGAGTCTGAAGTCCCCCCACTTAGCAGTATCTCGCCACTTCTCCCATCCAGCAGCCCCATCCTCCATGGTTGCTGGCCCCAAGTCTTAAGGTCGCCCTGCATTACATCATGACAGATGTTATTGATGTCTGGGAATTACTCAGCCCTTTGAAAAATCACAGCCACAATATTTGTCTCCATTAACATCCATGGCAGCATTTCAGTGAATCAATAAGATACTTAAAGCTGAATTACACGACTTGTAGCCTGGGCTGGGTGAGCTCGATCTGTCAGGTGACTAACCCAGAGTACCTGGCCACTCTGAAGCCACCTGAAGGGGAAGAGGAAAGGGTTTTCACACTGTTTACCCACTAAAAATAAACCTCCAGTCCTTGCCCGTTCCGATCACAACTGCACTTTAGATACCTGACGGCGCTTCCTTCATCCGCCTAGCAGGAGTGAATCATGTGTCGTGTTCTGAGAAAGACCTCAGGTTGTGTTCTCCTCCCGTGCAGAAATCAGAGAAGAAAAGAATCATCTGTTTAGGGAGGAAACAAATGATCCAGGGCGCGCAGACTTCACCTCACTCTCTGGCCCTCCTGTTCGACACTCTCGCGTCCTACTTCTTTATCCCTACTGATTTGAATCCGAAAGGCACTGTCCTTGCTGGTGCCCTGACTTGTCTTCCGGGGATCTCAAAGCGCTGAGTCCACATCACCAGCAGGTGGGAAACAGCGTGGCAGGCGAGAAGACACTCTGTCTCGTCTTTGTCTGTCCCTCTGGCCGGTTTGTGCAATAATTGAATCCAGAGGACCACTCACCATGACCTCCTCGGTGCGCAGACGCATCCGCCAGCAGCACCTGTGGTGCCGGGCGGGGCAGACACGCTCTGCTGAACAGAGGCGGCAGCACAGGGAAAGGGTGCTTTTCTATTTAGTCTGCTGGTTTTCTCGGGGTTTGCGATGTGTGGGCTTGATGTTCAACAGGGACTTTCTTCTCGCCATGTTGTTTAGTTTTAGGAGAGAGCTGAACAGGCAGCCCCTGACCACAGGCGCCCCCTCTCCTTCCTTACAGGCCATCAGCTGTGGTCCTTCGTGTGCTATTTACTCCTTCTTATTGGGTTCCCTCTCCATCAAGATTCAGAGAGGCGCCTTCATTATCATTCCAGCCTTTGCAGAGGCTCCAGAATTTCTCAACCTGAGATGGATCCATCGTCCCTTCCTCCTAAGAACTCGGAATGGGAATGAAGTGGGGCACCCAGAGGGGAGTGGTTCAGAAGCAATGCCCAGAGATGTGAGAGATAAAGAGGTTCCCTCCATGTCTTTATGTAATCTAGACTAAGGCCGCATGCTGATTTAAATACTGACCCCCAGGGGCTTGCCTCAGACACTGCAAGCAGGGGCCAGCTGGCTAGTGAAGCAGTCTGCCTCAGTATTTGGTTTCCCTTCCCATGACGTGGTCATAGATCTTCCGCTGTGTGGGTGTATCTAAGAAAGGGAGAGTTTGGGCTATGCTGCCTTAGACCAATGCCTGCCTATTTCTGTTTTCTTATTCTAAATATGACCTAAAAAGTTGTTGGGAAAAGCAAATGATTTTAATCTTTGTAAATTATAGGTATAATATACCAATAGTTGTGTACTATACCTAGAAGCTGAAGGTACATTGTCAGACCATCTCTAACTACACTGTGACCTTAGGCATGATAGTGGACAAGCATGGAGCTAAGGGGATGATGAGGTTGCTCAGTGGTTAGGGATATGCACTGCTCCTCCAGCAGTCCCAGTACCCACGTCAGGCAGCTCATAACTCTCTGCAATTCCTTCTGACCTCTGCAGACACCTGCATTCCCCATTCACATACCCATACAGAAACACACACACACATGCATACACATAATTTTAAATAATAAAACCAAATATTTATAAATAAATTAAATGGAGTGAATAATAGTATCTATCTCAACAGGGAATATATATATATATATATATATATATATATATATATATATGCAGTTGGGAGGCTGAGGCCACAGAATTGAGAGTTCAAGGCTAAGCCCAGACTATATGGTGAGACTTGATGTCAAAACAAATAGCATTTCCCGGCTGCTCAGACCCAAATAATTACACAGAAACTATATTAATTATAACACTGCTTGGCCTATTAGCTTAGATTTCTCATTAACTAACTCTTACATCTTAAATTAATCCATTTCTATTTTTCTGTATTTTACTACAAGGCTCGTGGTTTACCAGCAAGGTTCCCTCGGGTGTCTGTCTCCTTTGGTGGCTACATGGTGTCTCCCTGACTCGGCCTACTCTCTCTATATCAGATTTCCTGCCTGGCTATCCTGTGCCCTGCTATAGGACCAAAGCAGATTCTTTATTAAGCAATGGTAACAAAAATATATTCACAGCCTACAGAGGGAAATCCCACATCACTACATTATGAGATCTACTGTGACAATTGAGGGACTGGCTGCTGATGAAGCACTAGGCACTGGCCGTGAGCACAGAGAGAAGTGGACTTAGCATCCTACTGTATTTAACTCTTGCAGAATCTGAGCCCTTGGTTGTCAAGAATCCAGTCTCCTCTAAAGTATAATGAAGAGTTAACTGCTATCTGGTTAGAACAAGACACGCGGCTCCCTGTGTCCCTCAGTACCAACCAGGAGGGCTCCCAGGAGCTGTCCTTCCTCTTCTCTCAAGCCAGACCCCACTCCTTTCCCAACTCCTGCACACCCGTGACTCTCCTCCCTGCAGACCCAAAAACCTTTCTCTAAAGAATGGGTGTGTTAAGTCAGCCTCAGATAAAATATATCACCATTTTTAACAACATTTAGAAAGCACCTTGAAAAGACATATTGAAACATTACTCCGAGGTTCTATAACTTTCTCTTGAAAGCACCGAGTTCTCCACAAGCCAGTTCAGCATGTGAATAATTGTCATAAACAAAGCACGCTGTGTGAGCCACACACCTCTCAAAAGGAGAGCAAAACAGAAAGACAGATGGAATCTCTCGAGTGCCCTCAAAACGCAACTCACCATGGTCTTCAAGTCTACTGAGGGCACCTCAAACATCCTGGAATAAAGCAATGTCCAGACGGGGGCCCGAAATCTGACTCCAGGAATGAGCGTTTTTCACCTACCCTGAGCGAGGTCATTACCTACAGAAGGTTGGAGAACCCTGATAGCATATCTCATTTTGTCGAGCACATTAAGGCTAGCGCATGGCAGTGAAGCATATCTAAAACTATAGGGTAATATAATAAAATCAATAGGGATTATTAGAAGCAAGTTGTTATATCTGAGGCAATAAAGCCTTGGAAATTCAAGAAAACAATGTTCTTGTAAAGCTGTAACAAATGACTGTGATTTAATCACTAAGCAAATAACATGGCATTCCGATGAGTTTTAGACTTTCATGGTATGAAAACGGGCGCATTAGGGATTCATCCAAGATGCTTCCCGTGAAGACTGTACCTCCGAGCCGCATCATTTTGACAACTTGTGCTCTTAAATAATCGCGTATTATTTTCTTTATAGATCCGATTCCTAAGCCTCTGGCATGCTTTTAAGTTATCATTTACTGTTAGTCTATCACAGAATCGCAAGCCTTTGAGCACATGAAACTGCTTCTTAGAACTTTCTTCCAACTTTAGAGAAAAGGCAAAGGCTTGGGAATTCCTAGAG